ACAGACAACCTCTCGTCAATATGCGTTTTTTGCATTGCATTACTGCAAAAAACGCATAAAAACACAACAAACAATACGAGAAATGAAAGAGTCCCAGCTCCAGCGTCAACTGGGAGAACGGAAAGAGCAGCTATCCAAGTATCAAAACAAGTACCAATTTTAGAACTCAACGTGTCCCATTATGTTATAAACAAAGGACACAGTGAAGTTTGATTTTTAAATACGAATTTAAATGACTTCATGTACATTAGACACGCATATGGTACCAACCTGTTCACTGAAAAAATCATTGGAGTTGCCTCATAAAGCTTTAAAAAGACATTTCCCACACGTGTTGACTTATCCGGATACAAAACTAACTTCAGCCGTTCCTCCTCATTTGCAACACCTCCACTCTGAAAAACTTTACGGAACGTTAAAAAAATAAATTTTCGAGAGACTTCCACCCCACACTTCTAATTTTGTCCACGGCTGCAGTCTTTTTTTGAGTTACAGACAACTCAAGGTTTTCAGCAAGACCACCTGAGTTATGTGGTAGTTTTTTCTTCTTTTTGTTAAGATGGAGCCAAACTGTTGGGCGGGTTTTTCAGTCCGGAGTTGCAAGTTTTCAGACCCAAAGGCCCACCATCTTTGGTGTACCTGCGCTTCCACACTGGATTTCCATCTATTCAGCTAGCCACATCCTGTCATTCGGCCAACAGCGACCGTGTACTTTCGGAATCCATACAGTCCAGTCAACCTACCAGCGAGCCATTACCTTCTATACTGCTCTTACAGCATGTCGTGGACATCATACAATTATTTCTTTTGTCAAATTGCTGCCAGATCTCTGATCAGTGCTAGTGCCAAGGATACATTTTCCTCCCTGTTTTGGCAGCTGTTCGTTGGTTGTATGTCACAGTATTCAAAATTCGTTTCTTCGTTTTGTCGTTGCTAGTCCATTTTTTTTTGTGAAAGTGATAATCCTTCGCTCCGCATTCAGAAATCAACAGAGAAAAAGATTATGGCACTGAGAACTTCCGCCCCTATGCGAGATAACTTCTGCTTTTTTGAAAGGTTTTTGAAGTTTGGTGTTCAGCTCAGTTAGCAGATCCTGTGTGAGTTTGTTAAGAGTCACACGTTTCACAGCATACTGTTTTGTGAGAAACGGCAGCACGGCGCTGCGCACCCTCAATCGAAAGACTTCTGAAAATCCACGGAGAGAAGAAACGAACGAAATTTTTATTCCTTTTGGATCGGTGGTGCGAATATCGCTTTCGAATTTTGTCTGCTCTTTCACTGAGCTTTCGTCATCTACCAATAAATTACCGGTGCAAAAACCATGGCAGCAAACGCGCTGGATGACAGTTGCAAATGAATCCGTGAATGGCTGCTTTTTTTTTCATTATTAGCTTCGTTTTTTGCCAAACTTTGTCCTCACCGGACGATGCTTGGGATTCATGCGTACAGTGGAATTCAACAACAATGCAAAAGTTGATGATAAAAGTTCGCTTTCGATGACAGTGTACTCGATTTCGCTCCTTGTTGCAGCATTGGAAACTCGTTGTGGCTAGTATCACCCTAACCGCTTGCTATTCGAAGAATTCACCACGCAGAGTTTCGTGTTTTAACAATGTGAATGGGCCTTTGTCCTTTCTGTTTCTTGTTTCAAGCAGCAGCAGTTTCTTCATATTTTTCGAGCCTTCTTTACTCATCGTTGAATTTCTTAGTAAAAACCATTGTCCAATTCAACAGCACAACTCTCTCAAATAAAGCCATAATAAAGACCAGGAAGACCATTATTTTAAAAAAAGTGGCTCAGTCCCCACTATGAAGAGATCTAATTTACATTAAAAAAAAAAAAAAAAACTGAAAAAAAACAATACCAATTTTCGTATTTGTGGAGTCCATTTCATTTTGAGAAACCAAAAAAGACGACTCAACTGATCACCCACTGCAACTCGGATTCGAATTAACGGATTCTGCCCACACTGTTCCACATAACTTCGATCAGCTTCAGTTTTTGGCGTAAGGCAAACAACAATATGTGATGGCGATGGCGAGGATGGCTTGCAACCTTGAATTACACAAACCACATTATCAACAAACATCCCTGTTACCAGAACTGTTGTAAAAAGAACCACAAATGTAAAGAATGAATATGGCCAAGCCCCTTTTCTTTAACCCAGTTGCCCTATGCTCCCATGCCTAAAGTAGAGATGGCTTGCCCTTTCCCCTCGTAATACAGAAATGATGTAAATGACACTGATAAGGACCGCGCATTATTACCGCGTCGAAGCAGCAATACGATTCTACTGGTTGACTCCGGCTTCAACATCGTTCTCCCCAGTTTTTGCTTTTTTTTGAAAGTTCTCACACCCAGTTACAAGGACGCCGGTGAGGGAGCGTAGAAATACCACGAGCAAAATCCGTATGAGCGAAATCGAGGGATGCCAGTGGGATCTACTGACATGAATGCTGCAGCTACATTAAGGTAACAAACGTTCAGTTACCATTCCCCCAAAACCGTCTTCCCCGCCCTCTCTGTTCGCCTGGTCGATGTTTATGTACTGCCTTTACGAAGAATTTAGCCAGAGGCTAGGCCAAAGAACAACAGGGTAATAGTGTCCGTTTTTCCTATTTTTTTCATTCCAAGCTTTCCCATGCTGCGTCAAACAGTGTGTTTTTGAGTTTGTGTAAAATTATAGGTGGGGAATTTCCACTGAAAATTTCATATGTCGGGGCATGAAAGCTGAATTTGAAAACATGGATGGGGAACATCCCTCCAAATTTCAACCTCCCAACTTTCCGGCTTCCGAGCTAGTGGCTTTCGCATCAAATCCCTCAGCTGTACAGCTTCTTCTTTATTCTTAAAAGGCACTTTTGTTTGAGGCGATTTTCAGGTTCGCAAAAAAATAACGTATGCCTTTCACAATGTACCACTACCCCTATTTCATTTCATCAGTTTCTGGAAATAGCCTCTGAGTGGTTTCATTTTGTCCACAGTAATTAACGGCCGACAAGGCTCTTCCTGTGGTGCGGTGAGAAGCAAGTTGAAATGACTTCCTGGTACGCTGGGAATTAAATTTACGAAAAACAAACTTGGAAAATATTTCTGCAGTGCTGGACACATTGGAGTACGTACTACTACCATCTGTTTCTTTTTCCACAGTTTTACCGTTGTTGTCCTGTAATTTGCTTCTGTATTTTCTGGTTCATTCTAAGTACGGCACAGCAGCTTCTTTACCACAATGCTACTCTTTTCTGGAGGGCATGTGACTCTCAGGACAGTTGTCGAACAACATACAAGTGGTGTACCTCAACTCAGCAATCTCTTTTGCACGTGTGATCCATAATTTAGGGAACAAGTAAGGGCAGAAGCTGATTACAAGAAGAAAAAATGCGATAAATTGTATTCAAAAGCAAAAAAATTCACAGAACAGCAGCAGCAGCTGCTGCAGAAGTTCCAAATGCATAAAAACAGCTAAGTAAAAAATTTTAATGCTGGGCTTGTTACCATTGTCTCTCATTGCCTGAAGTCAGTCCATGCAAAAAGTGCGATGAGTTAAAAGGGTCAACTTGGTATCGCGTGATAGCGTAATATATCAAATAGTGATTAATGGTAACTCGGAGCTGTCTTTTCCTGACCGCACAGGCTTTGTTGAACTCGTCCCGGAACTACTTTTCTCATCGCGTAATAGCGTAATATATCAAATAGTGATTAGTGGTTTTTGATATATTACACTATCACGCGATATTGGGTTCGGATTTCTACGGCGGGTGATGATGCGTACGCCAACACAAAGATATAATCCGACTGGAATAAATGATAACTGTTTAACAACCGAAAAAAAAAAATTCAAACTGACCCATCCATGATAAGTTGCCGCAATTTCACCGGATCAAATTTGCCGCAAACTTTCCGCCTCATTTCAAATCCATTGATAACAATAAACAATTCACGCGCATCTCGTGGTAGATCTGCTATTGTATCTGAATTAACAGCACCAATAATATCACAAAAATCAATCTAACGCATTGGAAATTTGAAATGATGAAAGTGGTGAGTAGAGAGGGGGATAATTTTCATAAAATAATAAAGTGACTACGAAGGCAATAACAGTTCGGGAACTAAATAAGAATGCATATGACTTAATGGGCTGAAACATTCCATTGAATTAATGGGCTGGAAAATTCAAATTTTAAAACTTCATAAGAAGTTTTTGACCTACATATTTTATACTGGCACTCAGGGTACTGAGGTTTTCATTATCAACCCTCGACTGCCACAACGCAGACATTCCTGTTTGGAATGATCACTTCTTGGTTGGGCTTCCATGGGCCTTTTCTACGCTTTCCATTCCTATTTATTTACTTTTTCTTTTCAATATAATTCCTTAATATATAGCGATAAGGTTTATATTCTCAATGTTAATCTTAATTTTTAAATCTTTAAATTTTTAAATTTTTTTAACATTTTCAACCCTCGTTGGAAATTTTATACATTTTTTGTAGGATATATCAGCAGCACCATGCCAAAAATACTAGTCTGAAAGCGTGAACGTTACAAAAGGGAAGGACTAGGCAAAGGAAAGTCCTCCTGTGTCGAACCGCTTACATCTAGCATAAATCTACCC